GTACGCACAACTTAAGAACAAATCTGTGCGTACGAACGGTTCTTGCATGAGGCCCATTGTGCTTTGGATGAGTGCATCAGGAGGACTTTTTTGATTCCACTTACTGAGATTTCCAAGAAGACCTTTTCTGTTCTTTCTTATTTTTTCGAGATAACAATAGCTTTGTGCTAACAGAAGAATTTAACCAAACCACATTCTCCATTGTGGTGTGTGTAGACTGCAATGACAGACAAGGAAATGCAAAAAGAAAAGAGAAATGATTAAAAAAAAGTGAAGCATGTGGCAGATGCTTTCCTGAGCAGATGGGAATGTTACAAAAAAGTCTGAGTGCCAAACCTTAAATTGAGGTATCTGGAATTTACTACAAGATATGAAATATATCATTTTACTGTTACAGTCATATCATATACCATCACCTCTTACTATAACGTTGCCGTGCTGCACCCAGAAAGGCACTTTATGAATGCTTCTGTCTTTCCTCAGCAATTTTCTTTTAATGGCCTTACAGACAATCTCCTGTTTTCATCTGTCTCACTGGTTTGACCTCTGGTCCAGTCATAGTCTCAGCAGAGGACAAAACCTAAGGATTTATTGCTGCTCTTACAGCGAGGAAGTTGTAAAGCAAGAAGACTAAACAAGGCTTTTGTGTTTTTTTTACTGAGTTCGAAAGTTAGTTTTTTTTTTAATTTATAAATGTAATTAAATATTTTCATCACCAACTAAAAAGTTCTGGCAGTACTGGTCTGTTTCATTTGCTTGATTTATATAACCTAAACATATTGTCCTCAGACTTCCTGTTCTTAAACATCTTTTTTAAAGCCAGTTTCAGTTTCGTTTTAGGGGATTTTTTTTTTCATTTTCATAAGCATACCAACTCAATGACAATTCATTCAGCTAATTTAAAGAGACAGAACACTCAAAATTGTTTTCAGATGGGAAAACAGAATGCAATTCATTATCTTCACCTTCAAACACATGAAATAAATTGTMCAGAGAGTAGTAACTCAGATGGCACTAATGTTGTTAGAATTTTATTTTCGGGGGAATKATAGTCTTTGAAAAATCTACCGGTCTTTATTGCTTTGTGGAAATTTGTGCTTTCAAATGACTGAAACACAATTATTATGTAGCATGTAGACAGAAGCACTTTTCTCCAAATCTATTTACTTTCTCACACGCCCACATTCACACCCGTATGGCACCAAGTTTAGCCCTGCTTATGTATTTGGGGGTTAAATGCGTGTCCCAAAGGTGTCTCAGTGATATAATGAGGGTCAGTCACGTGCACTCTCTCCCACTGGGCAAGGTCGACTGCTTCTAACAATACATCAGCATACTGGCTGTGGCTGTAGAATAATTGCTGTATCGCTCACTCTGACAGCATATTGGTCAGACAGAACTGCACACTCAGAATTTTGCCAAAATAAGAAGATGAGGATAGGCTGCTGCATGGCAGAACAAATAAATAAATAAATAAAAAAAGGCGCTTGCATCTCTAATTGTGTAGAATTCTGTCATTATTGCTTTCTTCTGTCACCTTTGTATTTTAGAGGTGTTGTGTTARTTTATAAGAACCTGCACCATTAACAATAACTAAAGTTTATCCTCCTTCACAATAAAACTACGGCTTTTTCCAGCTGTCATACACAGATGGGTACAGATGAACACCAAGTCTTGACAATACCACTCTGTACTTATTTACTATAGCTGTGAAAGTAAGTTTTCAGTTTATTTACCGTTAACTCATCTCAGTATATACCCTCATACAATTCACTTTAGCAGTTTCAATGTTYAAAATCTCAAATATGTTTTCTTTACAAAAACATGTTTCCAGATAGTAAATTTATGTTCACTGTATTTTCACAGAATCCTCAATGAGGCTTTTAGGTTTCCAGTTTGAACATAAGTGTTATTCAACAGTTGCTTTTGTGTTGAAGGGCTCTTTTAAATCTGCAAAAGCAGAACAGTTTCAGGAAAAAGTAAAAAACCTGGTGGCAGAGCTAAATCAAGCTTTGCAGTTTGAGGCACTACAATACTGTATATGTCAATGGAATACCTGATAAGCAACTCATGTAAACACGATTAACAAAATATYGTCTTTATATTGTTGTCCCTGTATCAAGATGAGGTTCTTTCATTGATTAGTTACAATGATATATGTGTTGGCCTGCAATTGGAAGTCTTTAATATATGATGCACTGTTTAAAGACTTTGGACTTTTTAGGTCAAAGTTCTATTTTAATTTTCTTTATTTTATTTTTTATTTTTATTTTTTTAACCTGATAGGAAGGAACTATGTACCTTCTCTGAACYTGGGTATACCTTGGATACCCCAGGTGTAGCTGAACAGTTTTGCTGGTTAAAGGGATGCCTGGGTCTTCCTCCTGGATCCATRGYCTCTCGTTGACTGAACTGAAAGCTTGTTGACTGACTTATTATTATGATTCTCATTCATAAGCTCCACTCTTTTGTGGACATGCTTTAATCCTTTGGTCATGTTAATTAGGAGTTTAATTAGATATTATTACAGCAAAATATTGCTATAGGCTACTTTTTTCTCTACATTTTAGCAATCATTTTCAACCAGTCTTACAATTTTTTTTCAATATACTAATGAAATGCTGTATCACAATATTAAGTGTTGTGTGGCATGCATTTGGAATGTTTCGAATCATTTGGTACCCTGTGACTCTCACCTCTTATCTTTTACAGYTTTATTATCTGCAAGAGAAAAAAAWACAAGCTTCTCTCTCTTAGATGCTTCTGCTTTGTTTGTAACTACAGCTTCTTGTCTTGTTTCTCCTGTCAAATTTAGCCTTTTGAAATAAATAGATGGAAATTCTGTAAAAACAAAAGGTGTTCTTTTGAACAGGCAATAATTTCTTGGCAGTGTTCCCACCTTTAAACACACACACACACAGACATATAAATAGTGGAAGGCGTTGCATGTAAAGGCCCGAGGTGAAGAGTGCCAAAACCGTTGACATAACGGTGAGTACTCCTGCTGTCTGAGAGTGTAGTGTTGGCACACACTTTTGGGACGTGTCATTGACTTTTCGTGTGTGTGTGTGTGTGTGTGTGTGTGTGTGTGTGTGTGTG